TCCATAAGGATTAAGAGGTGTAAGTAGGTGAGTAATACTATGCAATGTCAAATGGGAAATTGTCAACAGAATGTTTTTTCTCCTGAGGGAATTAAAACATTAGAATTTTAGTTTCATTGACTATTTCAAGTTTGCTGTAAGTAAAGCTTTTATACACTGATTAACTGATGGTTTAATTTCAAGCTTATTTGTAAAATACGTACTTTTGTAATGGTTTCGTTTTACCACAGAAGGTATTCAATTTTGAATATCTCTGCTGATAAAAAACATAAAGCTAATGTTATCGAAACTCCTTGAAATTCGTTGGTAATATTCACTGGTGTTAATGAAACATTTCAATATTCAGTTGAATGTATGTTCAATACGTTTCAATGAATTAATTTCGTGATGAATGGTAATTAAGAAATGTCGACTTGTTTAATAAAACGAACAATGTGATTACTTTGGAAAAATAAAGTAATAAAAATAATCCACAAGAAATTTAATTAGCATATTTACCAAAAATAACCCAACTATTCCTTCATTTGCATGTTGATTAACATCAATACTTTGAATTTATTGAATACTACATGATTATTGTTACTAAATTCATTTTATGTTGTTTACTTGTGTCTTCCCATTGTTATTTAGGACTGTAGTTGATCAGTCTCTTGTTGGCATATGTACATCCTGTGTGGACTCCCTTGATATTGCCTTAATCACAAACATTGTAAGCATAGTGGATAGTGGCTAGCAGTGGAATCCAGGATGCGCGTCTTGTCTTATTTGGGACTCGTCAGTTGGATGTACCTGAATATATTACTAGTTAATATGTTTTACTGTAGACGTAACACTAACTATTTAAATAATTCGAATTTTTATTGTTTAATTTATATAAATTTACTTGTATTCATTCTATTATCATTCATTATTATTTATATATTTAATTATTAATGATAAGAAATGTTTAAACGGTCATATTATAAGATTTTATGGTATTACCTCAAAGTTATTCTACTATTAGACATCAACGCCGTTGTATACCGGCGTAATGGTCTTCAGGTTAAGCGTTCACGTGCGAGACTGATAGGTCATGGGTTCAAATCTTGCTAGGCGGGATCGTGGATGTGCACTGCTGAGAAGTCCCAAAATAGGACGAAACGGCCGCCCGGTGCTTCTAGGTTTTCCATGATGGTCTGTACTCAATTGACTCATGAATTCAACTATTAATGAATATTTGTTTTTGCCTTTTCCTCAGTTAGACAGTAGAATAATATATTTATGAAAAGTAATATATACATTTGCTAGTATTACTAATGAAAGAGCATATTTGCATCACTAATAGACTTTATATATATAAATATTGAAACATTGAACCTCATTACCACAGAGTAAACATTCACATTATAATTTCAGTTATCTCAGACGATCCAAAAAATAATAAGTGACGAAAGTTTTGCATATTAAAGAAATACATAAAGAGATATTTGTGCGTTCATATAGTTATATAGATAATAATGTTTTCGTCTACATTGCTACCCATAGTCAACTTTGAAACATTCATATTTAACTTCTTTTCCTCTGATTTATGTAAATTTCTTTCGCACACGTTATATAACAGTTAATACAAATAACAATATCGTTTTCATTAAACCATCGGGTTTTAAGTTTACTACTTAGTAAATCTTTTCGGCATATTTGTGTCTTATGATCTGTCTCCTTTCATCATATTCATTTATTTAAAGCTAGATTATTAGAGTTAAGAATTACAAATTCACATTTGTTTGTTTACTGCTACGAATTGAACTTTTGATTAAGGTGGAGTTTTGTACTCTAAGTTGGATAGTTTGATTGTGGTGCTTTCATTGTTCTTCATTGTCATGATACGTTTTATCAAAATAAAGAGGTAGGTGACGACAGGTTAAATGTCAACACTTACCAATCAAGATCGAGGTCGGCAGAACAAGCTATGACTCATATGCAGAGATACTTCACTCCTACATGAGGTTTGTACTGATAATATTGTTCAGAAGAACAATGAAAGCTCCATGACCAAGCCATTCAGCTCAGAGAACAAAACTCCATATAAATCATCCACCTGACATACAAATCTTCTCCATCATTTCGAATATCTGACTATTTGTTTCGCGAGGTTTCAATTTGAACCTTTATTAAATCATAAAGAAGAGTTTTGTCTTGTTGTTTGCTACTGGTTACCATCACAAAGTATTTTCTTGAGTAAAATGATTTTATTCTCTTATTTACGCAAATGTTGAAGTACGCATCTCCATTTGATATTATTACGTGAATAAATCAATGTTATTTAGGTCTATTTGAAAGCAGTCGAACATTTGTATTTCCATAAAATTGCATAGTGTCATCAATTATTTTTGATTATTTACTTATTTAGCAATTAACATAAATATGGAAGGATCTATTTTTTAAACATTCCAGATATATATATTCTACCTTAATGTAACTGTATATGAACGTGCGAATGATCACTTGATTTATGATGAAATTTGACTGAATGTTGGTTTACTACTCAAACGTACTTACTTACTTACTTACGCCTGTTACTCCTCGTGAAGGAGCATAGGCCGTCGACCAGCATTCTCCATCCAACCCTGTCCTGGGCAATTCTTTCCAGTTCCTTCTAGTTATTATTCATCTTTTTCATATCTGCTTCTATTTCTCGACGTAATGTGTTCTTTGGCCTTCCTCTTTTCCGTTTCCCTTCAGGATTCCAAGTTAGGGCTTGCCTCGTGATGCAGTTTGATGATTTGCGTTATGTATGTCCTATCCATTTTCATCATCTTTTCCTAATTTCCTCTTCAGTTGGAAGCTGGTTATTACTCAAACGTACTCAATGAAATCGATAATTGATTTGTAAAAAAACTGTTATTTTCAACAAAAATCACATACTGATTTTAAAAATATTTTTAGCACAAAAGTAAACATAATTAAACGTTTTTAAAACATAATCAACAATAAATTCCATCTACCATTTATCAGCCAATGAAATTAATATTTAGTTTTTAAGCCTAATGTTTTTCCTACCTCATAACAACTATGTTATACATAGTGATTTTTTATAAGGATGTTTACATACAATGAATGGAAATTATATATATTGTTCAAGTGTAAATCTTTTCAATGTTTCCATGTATGTATAGTTTTTCATTATTAATAATTTGCATACAGTTTGTACTATATACCAACAAGTTTTTAAATGTTTTTGGGTTTTATTTTAAAATTATCGTTTTTAAAGAATATGGTATTACGATCCCAGGCAAAAAATGACTTTTACCTGATTCATGATCATAATACATTAATTTACAATCATTGTGTTATTTCTTGATGCTCTAAAGTCACCAATCAGAATGCCAATTCTAATTTGTCTGTTCCGCGTCTACCATTTCTCTTATAGTCTAGTGTCCGAAACTTAAACAATTATACGCTTGACCAGAACCACTGACATTGAGCCAATCTATCCAAGCTTATCTCAACCTACTTTTCGCTCTTTTTTAAACCTATCTTGAGTCTACAATGTCAGTGGCCAACTCTATTATGAGTTGTCTTATATACAAGCTCACTGAACTGTGTGGCATCATAAAGTTGAAAATGACAATCATGCAGAGTCAAGCCAAAAATGTCTGAATAGGATAAGCTGTAAAAGTCGATTATCAATAAAAAATGAACTATTCAGTAGTATAATGATAATTAATAGGTTAAACGGAATCTTATGACAAACGACATTTTTAAACATGGGTACCTATCACAATTGATTGATCACTGGGTGGTGATCAATGTCATGCTTGTCTAGTCCTTATTAGTGCAGATCGAATGCTATCGATCATGTTGCGATGTGGCCACCAGTCTAGGTGACTCGACACTGCGGGCACTATGTATTGAGATTTAGATGGTTGGAGGTAGTCAACAGGAAACCCTGGACCCGGGTTTCCTGTTGACTACCTCCAACCACCATCTAAATGGGTACCTATCAACTATATAATAAGAATATATATAATACTGATCTACAAACTAGTTCTAACTGACGCCATTTCTTAAATCTTCGTTTCAGTATACTACTCCAATATTTAAAAATATATCTCCTTTACTACCGTGTTTGTAACCAAATAAATGTGTCCACTTAGCATGTATGTAGAGTATAACAAAATGCTTTGCACATATATATTAAGTAACCATTAACTTGCATTTTGTGCAGCATACGATAATAAATTTATTCAACATTAATTTTTCTTTGTGCATGCACCAAAACCAGTGATGGTTTAAACTTATATCATAAAGATATGATTATTTTTGATTAATGCCTAGCAATAATGTTCAGAAGGCATATGTGTGTCAATACATACTGGATTCTAATCTAATGCCCACACCAACATTGAGAACTATATTCACCCAGTCAACAATTTATAAGCACACTTCCTAAACCTAATACTGTCCCCTACTCTAAAATCTAATAAACCTATAGCTAGAGCCAGCATCAAATCATTAATTAAACAGCTTAATTATAGTCTTGAATATAAGCAACAAACAAACACAAACCATCTTAGTTATTTATAAATACACTATACAATTATTTTCTAATTTTAGTTTTCTATTCTCTAATGAATAGGTCTAATTATTTATTTAAGATGATTTTAATTAATGTAGAAAAGTTGTAAGTGATGAATTATGTGCCAAGAAATTAATTTATCTGATTCAGGCTTTTTAAATACTTGCATTTTATCGCTTTTAGTCATCTTAAGTACCACTTGTGCTTTATGATGTTTAACATTAAATGATCAGAAAATAAATCAGCTGATTTGATTTATGCTACTGAGAATAATATCCATTTCATAGCCATATTTACGAGAATCGAGAAATATAAAAATTTTCCTTAGAAAAATAATTATGAAATATAAATAGGTAGGACAATATGTAACGTAATTTGCAATCACTATTCTTCTACTTTAATTTAGAATGATTAAGAAAAAGTATTCTTTACTCTGTCGTAGAAAATACTTCTATGGATATTTTGGAGAAGAACTTGACGATTTAATCACAATAATAATCACTTTATTGTGAAAACCAAAGTGGATTAGGTAAGTTATCTTGATATATTGTACTTCTTGTTCACAAGAAATTAGAATCTTATGAAATCTACCAATGATTATGTTAATGTTCAAGTACTCCATTATTATTCGAACTTTGTGAAAAGAAATTCCCTGTCTGTCATAAATACAACCAATTGGAGTTATCCTTTGTTGTTTTATGCTATTTAGTCGAGAGCTTTTTTGTGTATTTAGCATCCCAATGTTTGTGGTTGAGGAGTAAACAATAAAACTTTTACAAACTATCATTCAGTTTACTAGATAATTCAGATTTTGTAAATTCTCGTTGTTTTAACTGTTTATTTTTCATCACTTATTTTAATATATTAAATGACTTAAAGGACTGATTTTTTTTGCCTGAAGTAGAAGGTAATTTGGACTATTTTGAAACAATGTAACGAAATTATGGGTGAGATATATCACATACGTCTGATTTTTCCGAATACACAATTCTCCATCATATTAGAGTTCTATTCACTGTGATTTTATGGAGTTGTACAGCATTGAATGAGAATTCAGATGGAACAAACAATTTATTGTTAGGTACAAAATTACAGAATTTTTTTTATAGAATATAAAAACTGTACATTAAATACTTCATTTGCACATCACACATCATTTTTCCCTTACAAATTTCATCGTTCCTTCATTCCTGTTGTTATTAAATTCCTTTACTCATCATTTCGATCTTCTCAACCTTCTACTACCAGTCATTCCACTTCTGATTAGTGCTACATACTACTTATGTGACAGATTTAAGTAGCATACACTGCAACACAATCAGTTATTTGATTATTTCATCAGAAATCGTCAGTTTTAATTACAAATAAATGTCAGTAATACACATGATTCTACCATGAACTTCAGGTGATTCACAATTACAATAAGCTTCAGTACAATTATATATCTGGTCGAGGTGTGACGTTTCAAATCACAAAAGCGAAACACGATTTTTATGTAGAAAATTATACACTTTGACCTCATATCAGAGGTGATGGAATTTCAAAACCTGAACGTCAGTAGAAAGAAATGAAGTTATGGAATCAAACTTTTCATTATTTAAATTGAGATTTCAGTGACTGATTAGGAAATTGTCTACATGCTTTACTACGATCCATATTACTTAAAATGTCAGCTTGAATTGCCTCAACTAACAGATCCTAATTGTCTACCATAGGTTAAACATATAATCAGTTAATTTATGGGTCAATAGGATTATGTTACTTCTCAATTTTAAAGTTATTATCTGATTTTAGAAGTATTCTTACTATTGATGTAAGTTAGTACATTACATAAGTGTTTTGTATGTAATCACCTTAACCAATAGAATTGGATAGACTCGATAACAAATTGACTAGTGCATATCTAACTTTGAGTTTGTTAATCATCATTAGGAATCACTTTAGAGACATAAGAGATTAAATACTTACATTGAAATTACGGCGCTAATCTACAATAACCAACTAGTGACAAACATAATAAGATATTTATTTCTTTAGAAACTTCAGATTGTAAATTAACGGATGAAAGGGAGTAAAGAAAAGGAAGAGAGTAATATTTTAGAATTAGAATTGATATTGACAGATGCATTCCTACCTTGAACACAATTTCCATGGTAAACTTAACTTCTTTAAAACCGCTTTCAATCGTGAATTTTTAAAAATAATACTTAACTTAAAATATTTATACTTCTCATTGGTAAAAAATCACTGACACTGTTTCAGTCAACCATTTACTAGAAAATGATAATTTATTGCTCTGCAATTTAAATACATATAACTTGTAAGATGGATTTCAGTCTTAAATGTTATATTAAGTATTATGTTTATAGTTGATCTTTCATACTTTTAAAGATTTTTTTAAACTTCATCCAAAGTAATGGATACAGAGAACTCATGACTAACTATTAATGTTAATTTATTATTGAATAAATAAAGTAATTTTCAATGTATATATATGGATTCTATTTTCTATATTTACTTATATGTGATCAATTAGTCATTGTAAATAAATATAAAATGAAATATATTAGACTGATAGGTCCTGGATTCGAATCTCGTGGGGTGCGGGATCGTGGATGCGAACTGCTGGGGAGTCCCACAATGAGATGAGACGGCCATCCAGTGCCTCCAGGTTTTCTATGGTGGTCTAGCTTCAATTGACTCATGATTTCAATCAAAAACTTGACAATCTCCACAACACCTAAACTGATAAATATATAATAATAATAATAATAAACTTTTTTACTTGTGTGGGCTCTTTTTTTAATTTTCCCTATTCCCTTGATTAAAATCGATTAACTCTATGAAACAAATTTGAGGTATTTATAGACAAAACATTTGATCATATTTACATAGATATACATATATTGATGCATATATATATGTATATACATGTATGTAAGTACATACATAAAGCGGAATAGATTGAACAAATCTTCATCAACTAAGATATTACTGAACAAAACAGAAATGTTGGATGATAATGTAGTTATTACTCCAGAACATATAGAATGATAGTATCAAATTAATTCAAAGGATATTAGAAAAATCGTTACGGTGAATTGTACCACATTTTTTCTTGAAAATCCGTACATAATTTAAAATACTTCGTTATAACATATAAGTGAAATTATAGATATTTTGTATTTATAAAGCTTGTAACTTAAGGCAAAATCGAGGTAATCCGCACAGGATGCACATATGCCAATAAGAGACTGATCAATTGCAATCCTAAACAAAAATCGGAAGACCCAAGCATACAACACCAAGTGAGTTTTGTATTTATGCTAGGAAATATATAATTTAACAAAGATAATATCAATGGTTAAGATCATGAGTCAGTTGAAGCTAGACCACCATGGAAAACCTGGAAACACTGGACGGCCGTTCGTCCTATTGTGGGACTCCTCAGCAGTGCGCATCCACGACCTCGCCCCCTGCGAGATTCGAACCCAGGACCTACTGGTTTCGCGCCCGAGCACTTATATAATATCAGTCTAATATATGTATATTACAATACAGTGAAAACTTATTATTCTTCTGATTTCTAGTCGCGAACTAGATATATTCTGTTTTATCTTTACTCAGATCTTTATGTTTAAATATGGGCATAGTTAGAAATAAAACTGATTGCAGCTTTCAGTTACATATATATCTTCCTTCGTAGGACTGTGAAATATATGAAAACGGAATATTTTTATTTATTTACTCTTACAAATTACGTAGTGGAGAATTTCCGATTGTGACAATCAATCTTTTTTTTCTAGTATCGGATATGCTTACAAAACATAATAGTCATTGCACAAAAAACTATCAAACAATGTAATAAGATGAGGAAGATTATCAGTACTATGTGACATTTTGGCGCAATACATTTCGAACAATCTGATCTAAAAATAAAAGGTCAACCAGACTGGAAATGGTGTGAGAGGAGACAAGGATACTAGTGAGAGTAGTAATAATAATGTGAACACAATTTGAAACCTAATCACTCTGTATAATGAGCCAATATTACCAGGGTAGGTTTAAGGTGAGAACAAACAGTTTTTGAATACACAGAGCGGGTTTGAATTTTTGTATGACTAAGGCTTCAATAAATTTTATTATACGCCCTTTTACACTTTTATACAACACCACAAAAGCCGAGTTAAGATCAATCTTAGTCTCCATATTACATTATCGAAATTATCAAAGGGACTAATTGCTTTAAATGGTGAGTGTGATACGTTTTACTCAGAAGGCAATCGAAAAAAAAAACAGTTCTACTTCCTTAGAATTAAAAGTACATATGCTATTGTTTGCTGTAAAACAATTAAATCGAGAGTAGCATTATGTTAGTGATGTTCGACATTGTGTATTTGTTTGTAAAATTATTCTATGTTGGTTTCTTCTGAACAAAAGTGTTTTTCTTTGTTTCATTGTTTTACATTTGATCTTTAATAATATAACTTGAAAGAATGTTTAAGTATTAGATTAAACTATTTACGATTAGTTAGCTTAAGATTTATCATTCTATTCATACATTTTGATTTAAGCTTATTCTTAAAACACAATATTGTACAAATAAATTGTTATTTCGGCTATACATTGACAAACATATTGTTCTATTGTTCTATTCAGACTATTCTCACCTTTCTTTTTTTTAATAACCTTGATTATTTTCTTTATTCTCAGTTTATTGTGATGTTTTCTTATAATATTATTGCATCGAAAGTTAAATAGAACATAGTGTTTTCAATTGACTTATATAATTGCAAAACTCAAAATGCTATTATAATTTAATAAACAGTTAATAAATTGAGGTAAAATGGTGGCTAGATGTAGTCAATAGAAAATCCTGGACCTAGGTTTTGTGCTACTACTTGGATCTCGTCAGTAAGGTGAACCTGTAGTCCTGAAGGAACTGATGCTCTCCGACAGATTCGATCCCTTATCACCCAGCTTTACAGCTAGAGACTTTACCACTGAGCTAACACTTGGTGGTGATAAATGTCATGTATGTCTGTTCATTCTTAGTGCACATCGACCAAGTTGCAATGTGAACATCAGTCTAGGTGACTCGACACTGAGTGCACTATGTAGAGATAAGTCGGTAGGATTCGATCTGCAGTAAGAAGGACCTGACATACAGACATTGTTCACCACCAATTGATCAATCATTTGTAAAAGTCAATAAATTTTATCAGTGAAAATATCTATAGAGAAAATCTACTTTTTAAGGTAAATGAATCGCTTGGATATAGTATAATGGACCAATGATATAACATACACTTATGTGCTATATTTTAACATAATTACTCTTTTAGTAGAGATTTTAGACATTTTTTAAGCGAAAACAACTATTATTCTGTAAAAATTAATCAAACCCGTCTCATTATATACTGTGAATTGTTCAAGGTCCAATTTGTTGTATGTATACGGTCTTACTAAAATGGGAATTATATAAATATCCCATCATTGTACAATATTTTATTTAGACCACCCAAAATATGCATTGCATAGCGAAAAAAATTATGTTCAATTCTGCTGGAATATAATTTTGTTGATAACATACTTATTTAAACGTTTATAATATCCCAATGTAAAGGAGTTCAGAGAATTCTTTTATGGTCGGTATTCAGTAAGAAAAGAGACAAATTCAATCTTCTGAGAAGACTTTGGTTCGTTTTTCAGAAATATATTTAGATTGATTTCTAAACTAATTGACTGACTTT